TTGAGGATCAGCCAGCTGCTTGAGGAAGCCGTTCCGATGGAGAACCTGGCCGTAGAGAGGTGGCAACTACACCCACTGCCACCATAGTATGATGGGCTGGACATCGAAATAGAAACTGAGGGAGCGGCCGTGGTTTTGCCTGCTCAGCACCGAACGATCGGGCCATCTACACGGACGGATCGCTCACTCCTTTCATGCACGCTGGCATGGCAATGGTCGTCCATTGCCGTGGTCAGCGGGTGCAGGTGCACCAGGAGTCCTACAGAGTTCCGTTGCACTGTACAATAGCGCAATGCGAGACGGTCGCCCTTAAAAGAGCAGTCGCTTATGCCAAGTCACACCAGGAGGAGGCTTCGTACGGATGGGTTATCATAAGTGACTCGCAGTCGGCCTTGAGAACCCTGCAATCGAGGAGGCTGACGGAGCGCAACGCGATAGCACGCAGGATCATGTCTCACCTCACGGGTACCGGGGTATGTCGCCGACCTCGGCTGGATGGTGCCCTTCGCTGCGAAGGCTTCGCACGTTGGAATAATCGGCAACGAAACCGCGGACCATTTTTGTGGTGCTGCTACAGCACTCTTCACGCAGTACGAAATAGAGTGTGCCAGCTCCTACGTCAAACGGGTTGTTCGAGGGAAGATACTAGACGCCTGCAACATCTGGTGGGAGTCTTGTAAAAACTCATTGGGCAAAACGATACAGGTGATATTCGCCAGTTTCTCGGCGACTAAAAAATTTGCCACACTCGGAACTACTCCAACATTGATAGCGTTGGCCACTGGAGAACTACCGACGCCACATTCACGCTGTATACAAAAGCTTAGGACAGACGCCAGCTGCGCCTGCGGGGCTGCTGACGGCAGCACACTTCACCTCGTCACGGAGTGCATGCTCCTCGAGGAGGCCAGAAGAGAGGCCGGACTGGGTGTTATGCCTCATGTGAGCAGGCTCTTCACAGAAGGCGAGTATAGGAGTTCCTTATTGCTACTTAGTGTGTCGACACTGGGATTTTGTCTCGATCTTAGAGATTTTGAGTCTGTTTTGTAGTTTCAGGAACATTGAAATACAGACTCCGAGGAGTCGCCGACCACACTCAGGAGTAATCCGTCATTGGGAAAGATGCGACCAGACTAGGACGGCTAAATCAGGACAGAGTCTGTCCGACAGACTAGCGATGATAAGAGCAAAGATGTAAAATCATGTTTCTATCATTCTACGACATAGCGTATTGAGAAATCAAGTCGAAACCGTCCGGAATTGGAGCAGAAAACTTTTGAGACTATATGTCAAATTGATTTGGAGCAACGTAGAATCCACGCAACACTGCCGAATGATCGGAGGGCTCCTGATGAGCCTCTGGATATTACACTTTCTTATTCGAATTCCGAATTCCGGATTCATCTCAACCTTAGGTTAAAGTTTTGGAGCCCAGGAGAGGGAAGAGTATCGGCACTCACATGTTGAAAGTGCCATCCTCATGGGGAGGAGCCACCGTTCACGAGTTTTCCGCTAGAGCTGTTCGTTCACGAAGAACTGAGTCGTTTACCTTCAGGAAAAGATGATCTGCTCCTCTACACATTCTTCCCTCAATGAGTTTGCCAGGCAAACTTTGCTTGAGATGTGACGTTTTCGTCATGAATGTGAGGGAGGACACAATAGAATTTTGCCCATAATATGATGTCTCGATCCCGTTTCCTATCTGGCTGGACTATATCACTATAACTCTGAGGTTTCCAATAAGCTTTTCTCTTCTCTCACAAACGATGCGTTAGCGATAGTACGCTAGGGAGGGATCAAGGCGCCCAGAAAAGCCTTCTCAACGAGACATCTCGCCACATCTTGTGGCCCACAAGGTCCTAGTCAGAAATATCTTGTCCCAGCGCAGTACCCGAAAATCTCCTCATGAAAAAGAGGCGAACGAGCACGTGAGAAGTATGACTCGCACTGAATTTTGGGTACATTGCCCAGGTCAATCAATTTGATTGAATCAAACTGTCGTACCACTGACGCAAACGAAGGAACAGAAAATTCCCCTCGGAAAATGCTAGTGCATATATCTGTCGCCGATCTAATCGTCCGTAGCACACAATGTGTCTCTACCGAGCGACGGAAGATGGAAGTTAAACTCCAGCTGTGAAGATGATTCAGGATTGGCCCCTCTAGCATCATTCAGTTGACGTCGAGGTCCGAGACACACGATAATAGTCGTGATAGACAGTCGTTGCTTAGCACGACTTGACGGAAATTGTAGGCCGTCGATTGTAGCCATCGTATGATCGAAAGAAACATCAGGGATGATGCGAGCAAACATGGCTAGTGCACTCACAATGAATCATTTCCTGAGCTTTTTCCCCAGCAGTGCAATCTCCCTCTCCACTGCTTTTTGCACTTCCACATCGAAGCCCCGAGCCTCGCTCAATTTTCGCTTATGCCTGGCGTAAATAACCTACGGCAAAAACAAGAATGCCACATCTTAATGACCACATACTGACTGTACTCAGCGCTATGTGAACTAGTGGTTATAGTTCAAGGGAGGTAGATAAATTAGACACCACCAATGAGATTTTACCTGTTGTAGCCTACAACAGGACCTGTTGAACAGGTAAAAAAACCCCTAAAACCCTACAACTTGTAGGGTTTTTGGGGAAAAGTCTTCTCTCCAGAGCATAAAGAAAGCATACGTGACGATGATGTCAAGTAAAGCCAGGAGGTACTGAATAAATACGAGCGCGAGCTTGACTCTTGCTGAAGTATATAGACTGAAACGGCCGCATCTTTTGAATAGCGAATTCAGTGATACCGCGGGAAAAATATGGTATAGGATCTCCGAGTGATGATAGGAACCTACAACATCTCCTCGCTAGTGGAATCATCGGTGTAGCAGAATTCATTCCCCTCCCAAAATCGGCTAGAAGTCGTAGCCTACGACGTGCACCAGGAGGTTACCATCCGAGTAAGTTTTGAGATAGTAACTTTTGTGTGCACTCCGCTGCGACCAACGAGAACTCACCGTTATCGGCTCCATGACATCCCAGCCATAGAGGCAGTATGTGTCGTAGTAGATCGAAGCCGACTCGACGGAGAACAGTACTACTCCGCCATAGCGTACTTGCTATAAGAGAATATCAGTAGTAAGCCGTCTTGACCCGCTCACTTGGTTTTCCTTAACGCAAGGTTCTGTATATCCTCTTGTAGGGCCAGCATCTCCCGACGCTGATCTTTCAAGGCTGTGAGCCGCTGAGCGTCGTCGGACATGGGCTGGCTGCTGCTACCCAAAGGTAGCACTTGAATTGACTGAGATCCCTCAGTTGTCTGAGACAACTTGTCGCCTTGGCGACATGTAACTGAGGGTACACCATTGCAACCAGCGTCCAAGACTATTATAGAGAGTACTTTCCAGGTCGTTTACAGTGTCGACCTGTTGGATATTGGGGGAGAGAGAATGTATCCCCGTGAGTAAGTAGCAGCCTACACGAAAGCCGTCTGCAATATCGAGCAGCTTCAACGCCGATTCTTCCGATGATATTAGGATACTCTCGGGTGGGTTGGTGCGGATGTCAACTCCAGGCAAACCAACAGCGTGTTGCACTTTCTGAAATAGTGATGGATGAGAGAGGAATTGGAAATTAACATACAAAAGTTCATCCCACACAGAAGACATCACCAACCGACGTGTTCCCGCTGTTAATAACTTACCTGCCATTATCCAACATCGGATGACGTCTGGCTAGACCATGGGAGTCCTCACACTCCTGACCCGCTACATAGACATTAGAACGCAACTTATTTAATTGCCGGGAAGGAAGCCATGCCAGGACACTGCATTCAATTGAACAACTATTCTCTCCTTTGTTATACCCTAGGCTGCAGCATACTATAGCTCGGTAGGTGGCAGCCTGTGTTTGGTGAAGTGACCATGAGGAGAGATCGGGTCGACAGATTGACCGAATATCGACTGCTACTACTCCCCACGCTACCGACACTCGAACGACCTACTGAGTTGAATCTCGCTATTTCTGAGATTTCGAAAGGGCCTGACAACTTTCAATAACAACTCCACGAACGAAGAGTCGATCGATTCACCCGATAGTCTGCTGCTTGTTTGAGGCTCGCACGGGGAGGTGGCAGGTACTGAATCAATTGATCGATCTGGAGACGACTTCGGCGGCGGGAGCGATCTCGGGTATCTTGGAAGGCAGGTGGTACACAGGAAGGAGCATCGAAACCTCTTCCTCACGCTCCCAGGGGGTTGGACCAGGGCTCTCCTCGTGGATCGATTTCATCACCAGACGTACTCGGTAGGATGTTATCACAATGACCTGTCCATCGGGTACGTGTGCCATGCCGTTTACCAGCTCTACTCTCCTTACTCGCATGATCAACGAATGATGGAGATTGTGATGGGGACGGTATAAAACAATGAGGATCCGTCTGAGTGAATTTGACAAGTCGTTCAAAGAGGCTCTTCGCTGACTCACTTCATTCGGGTTGTACAGTATAAGCACATCCTTAGGCGGTTCGCCCTCTTTCTCTTCGATGATCACGCCTCTCTTTCCGATATCCCGTTGATGCAGTCCTGTGGGAGACATCAAATGCTCTGATCCCGATTCGCTCTGCATTTCCAAACTCTCCGCTACTCCTGCCAGGCACAGGTTCGATTCTCACACGTGACACTTTTTACTCTACCATCTGTATGATGAACGACCCGTATAACGCTGCTACTGCTGCTAGCCGTATGCCGGGTATGCTTGTGAGGGTGTAGTCTCGTCACTTCACCATCTCCCTCGCTGAGCTGTTTGTAATGTTGACGACGCACACTGTACAGGCGTGGTGTGGCTTCTGTGGCTGAACCTGAGGGAGCGCTTCTGCAGATTCTTGCGACTCCAAGTGGTGAGCACAACACAGTACTGAATAGGAGATTCAACATCAATACGAACAATTCAGTCGCCGAAAATATTCTATGAATCCCCAGTTGATGTTATTGACAATATACAACAGCTGGAGTGTTCTAGTTGGTTACAACGATCGCCTCACACGCGATAAATCCCGAGTTCGACTCTCGATTCCAGTAGTCACTCAGGTCGTTTTAACATCATCTCAAATGATAGCCAAATCATCAAATCGTATCCTGTAACTAGTGAGATCTATCAAGTCCTCACCTTTCTCCAAATCGGTAACCCGAGTTCCCACAGGCGTCGACATTCCACTCGCAATAGATGGTGTGGCTTCATCACCATAATCACTACTGCTTCCATCATCGTCATGTTGCCTCACATAGCTTTTATACGCTGGATGAATTTTAAACCTGCTATCTTTGATCAACATGTGACTCACTCCGAAAGGAGCACTAACAGTCGTCTAAGGAGGGGTTGTACACTCCCTGTCAGGTCTATTGCCAACAGGGCTGTGTCCAACACTCTATTCACTCTGCTCAGCTCTCGGTCCCGATAGTCACCAAGGTAACTACAGCTTTGTCTACTCATTCAACGGATGTCACGACGATGACGACCTACTTCTTAATTGGAATTCCATTGTCAAGATGGAATGCAAAACAACACCTATGAAGGGATGGCCTCATCACTTTCGACGTACCGAGGCAAATACAGATTATTGTCCAGAAGGACGGTTCGTTTGAGATCCCTCCCAAGGCACTTCAGGTCCTTCACAAGGATAGTGGATTCTTTCTCGTTGTCGAAGAACTCCTAAAGGGAGGACATTCTCATCCAGCAGGTTAACGGGGACTCGTACCGTGCAATGCTGACGATAAAGTCTGTGTGATACCAACACACCATGCGGATCGAGGAAGTCCACAACCTGATCAGCTGACGAGACAAACGTCCCCTTCCGAGACCTCCACCGTCAGCTTCTCACCATAGCTTTTACACCCAGCCGTGAAGATAACGATCTCGAACTTACTGGCCCAATAAGTGAGGAAGAGCCTCACCCATGGGCGGAGGAAGATGTACGCCTGATGAGCATGACAGTGATGTTGGGAAGCAAGAGGGCCGGGCTCCCTACTGATTCCGAGTTTTCTTTGTCTGAAGGATCGGCATAGACCCTCATAAAACCCTGGGAGCTTTCTTCGTCTTCGGGTTCGTGACCTATCTCGGTTTTGCTTAACCACAACCACGCGATATACTGATTGACTCTTTGGAGCCCTCGGAAGATTCAACGTCCCTCAATCGATCCGAGTGATTCGGCTACACCAGGGAATAGAAGAGCGAAAGACATCACAAGGCCATCATCACGACCAGAGGGACGACGGAGCGTAGACGAGATAGTGATCACCTGATTGGTATAAGAATTCATAGGACATCAACGTGAGTGTGTCGTCAACATCCAAGCAAAGGGTAGGTCGTCGAGGGTCCTTCGGAGGCGGCCTGTATATGACGGTTGCATCAAAAAAGAGCTTCACTCCGCTCACAGATAAGGCCAATCCTTATTGTTCCTTATTTCATCCTCCTCCTCCCTACACAGTCGCAACTGAAATCACATGATTGAATATCCCTAAACATTCCCACAGTGCTCTAGTTGACCTGTGCTATCGATTTGAAAGCATGTAGTGACTGCTCACAGACCTGACAACGGTCAGCACTAGAAAAGATATCTTCGTCATCAACACCCCACTGTGGTCCAATCAAAATCTTCGCCGTGCGCACAATCTTGCTCGCCCTCTGATGTGATAACTTTTGGGAGACAGCCCAACCTGAAGATTGAACGAGTGTGAAGACAGCAATGAATCCGTCCACTTCCAAGGAATAAGAACGAGCTAGTAACCCAAGACCACGACATTTCCAGATCAATTTGATGTTTTGCCTGAATTTTTTCGATAATTTACCCACTTTTTTGCAAAAAATGTCTTCCTTTTAACTTTTTACCGACTGCTTTTGATAAATTTTCCGAACTTACGATGAAGTAGCCGATCATGTTGAAAACGTGCTCGTGAGCAATCTAGTTCGCAAACCATGTAGAACTATCCTAGAGACACCAACAGGGACTCAATACATCCGATTTTTTCCCATCGCGAAGTGCGGATTCAGCAAAGCAGCGTCAATGAACAAGTCCTCCAACGAAGAGATAAACTATACCTCGCATCCCCTGCACTGCTGTCGAGCTGTATCGATGATGACCCAGCAGAGCCAGGAGTCCTCGAGGGAAGAGATGTCCGACGACTCTGTCCAGTCGATGGCCTCATCTGCCTGAAGGCCAACCCATGAGCCGTCTGTTAAAGGGGAGGACTACCCTCGATTGCCATCGCCGAGTTGATCAAGAGCGGAACCCTGCGGAGGCGGGAGGCTGAGGCCAGGCCTCACCGTGGATGGTGGCAAAGCGGAGGCCGACAACATGAGGATACTGTTGGGATCATCTCTCATACCACTCCTCCGCGAACCACCCCAAGATTGTACCCCATAGGATTATTGAATCAACGCCACTCCTACCCACCACATTGAAGGACACGAACATGATCAGCGTATCGCATCAGCACAAGGAGGCTTAAAGTGAGATACCTCCCCAGACGGAGATCGCTGAATTTGCTTCCCACTGCGACGAGAAAACTTTGGTGGAGCGAAGCTCTCTTAACCCACCTCCGCAGAGAAAAGACAACTGGGAACTCCCTAGGATTATGTGTAACACCAGTGCATCGTCGACCCATTGCTGTACACCTCCTCATAGCTTCTGAATGAGGACGAGCTCACCCACGCGACTCAGTGATCGGACCTCCTATAGTAGGATATGTCATGCCTCCTTCTGATTCTACTAAACCCTCCAAGTAACTATCAGGGAACATCATACTAGTGGTGACACGATGGTGACACCTGTCTGTATGTCGAGGCCAATCACACTGGGTATTGTCGGCTACTGGAGCCTTCGATGATGGGCACTCCTCCTTCAGCGAAACCTGCACATGGGGCTGATTGCTCTCTCTGTGCGTGCGTACATTCTACAAGGCTGCTAAACGGAAAATGAAGGAGGGAAGAATCGAACCGAGGATCTATCTCTGAGACACGTAGTCTCAGCTGCGACCTCATATCCAGGTATCTTGCTGACGCTGACTGTATCACTCTCAACGATCTCCGCACCGACCTTCCAGAAACGGTGAGTACCTAACAGATCGCGGGTTCGATCCCCGGGACCCCCATTTTTCCACCCACCAACTTGATAGGCCTGCACTCCCAGACAACCCGATCGAAGCTCTTCACATCTACGCTGCGCCATAGCCAAGCGAGCATACGGCCCTGGGCTGCCTCCGCGTAGGGTCACCTATAACTATTTCGTGGCGCAGTGACGGTAGCAGTCAGCATCCCACAGGGCGTTGCTCCTTTCTCCACTCGCACATTAGACCTGTCCCAACCAACGCTTCCGTAGTGAAAGTAACCTCCTCCAATTCTGGCGGAGGACCATCGGGGGTCAACGACTCAGCCATCGACTGCCACTTCTCCCTCAAAAACTCTCCCTTGCTTGACCAACCGTACACCTACGTACAGCGGCTTTTTGGTGATGCTGAATTTATGCTATTCGATTCATTCAAAAGCTTCCTCCAGATCTTTCACGATTTCAACCAGTATAGGAAGATAAGTGAATGGTCAACCACATACGTGGGTGAGAAAATAAAATTCTGAGGGAAGTTTGGGAAACTCTCATTGATTTCTGTACATTTCTATCGGCATTCGTATGTAAACTCCCATAATCAGTGAGGAGACCTCTGAGCTCAGGTGAGGAAAGCGAACATATATTCGCTATATTACAAGTTGGATGTTCGCTTTCCAGTTGGAATTTCCAACACTGACTCGAACAGTCCTAGCCTCAAGATCTTTCTATTCTCACCCAGGGACGATCGTGCTCCTCACCTTATTCTTTTCGGCATCATCAAGAGGTCCCTCAGGGAGCAATGGTTGATCCCATGTCGTTGAGGATACCTCCATAGGATCCTCACCAGTTAAAGCAAAGATGCATATTCTACATTGGGAATGCATGTATCTAAATCCATAAAAGGTTAACCTTCAATCGTTATGGGGGATGAACGATAAAGTCATAATATTCACAATGATTCTCCTAATACCGCTGTTCGACCTCGGTAGTTCCGTTTTATCATTCTGATTAAATATCGTTATGCTCGAGTTGGCAGTTTCCTTGAGTCCTTAGAAGCTGTTAGTATAGATGCCATTATCACTCAGAGGAGACGCATTCCGGCCATTTTCTGCCCTACTGGAATCTAGAGAATCTTATGAAGTGTTCCTTGATTTCTCCAGGAGATGTCCACCAACTGGTATGCTCCAACCACAGAGTCTTATTGTTTGCTACCGACTCCATGTATCTTAGGTTCAACCATGCAAGATACAAAAAAGGTCCATGTCACTAACTTCGCAACCTCCTTTGCGCTCGAGAAATCATCAACATTGATAAGAGCTCGATGGTTCGGTAGAGTCCAATACACCTCCGGACAACCCCGGAATATAACTATCGCTCCTCCCTGAGAAAAATATCCTTTCGTAAATCTAATCGAATGGATTTCCTCACTGTCATCGCGCGAGCAATCTTATCAGAACAGTACAGTTCATAAGGCTCAATCGCAATATAAAAAAGATATCTGAAGATACGCCCAGATCCTCCCGATAGGCACGCACGGCGAAGGTTTACTGTTGGAGTAAATCAGTGGGAGCTCCGGTAGCTCGAGTATCGTCCTTGTTATGGAGACAAGGTCCCATGCTGTCCACGGGGTAGTGGCTCATCAATTCACGGACCTACATCCACGACACGCGCCATCAGGAATAACTCGCGGAGTGGTACGAATTCCGCACGCCCCGTAGGCGAATCGCATGCTCGTTGTAAATAGACTGCATTTTTACTTCGTTTTTCGAATGGTACCTTCCAAAACCAATGATGATCATCAATAACGATAATGACTCACTTTCGAGGGCATCCAGAAACGAGGATCCTCAAAAAAATAGTCTGACAATAGCGGAGTCAAAATATGCTTCGCTACGCCTGAAAACGGTACTCTGATGATGGAAGACCAAACTCATGAATTCACAGGGAAATTGAATATTCAATATTGCACATCTGACAGAAATATCCGAGGTTCACTATGCGAAGATACAGAAGAGGTCCCCTACCAGATTCCTGTGCTTCAGGGTAATGACCATTTATTATGGAACTAGCCGTTGCATCGAACTGAAAGATCACCTTCCCGTCTGGTCAAAGCTGAGGTCCCCTACATGGGCTAGCAGTTCGCGATCTCTCATTCTAGTGTGGAGGTTGTCAGGTTCAATTTGCAGGGCTATCCAACGCTGATTAGCCGGCTTATTATCCGTAGTAAAACGTTGGAAGTCGACCATGTGATGGACCACTCCATGGGCTACAAGCACTGACTACTTCAGATTGCAGTAGCGTTCACATTATCATCACCCTGTCCGGCTCGTTGACGATCGTTGGTATATTCACATTTCACTGGACATGGTTCGTATAGTCGATTATCCTGTTGTTTACCCCAGAAGGTGTCCGCGAATAATATCAATGCCGACCTCTGAAAGGAAGACGCTTCCTCTTCCGCTTCACGAAAGGCCCATCAGTTGATACCATGCATGTCTCCAACTATGAATTTAAAATGAAATTTCGTATATCACACCGACTCGATTGGACACGTATTTTGAAGATCTATGTACAGTTCATCGTTCCCATACTAAATTATCGAAGTTGGACTCGACAGACAGAAACACTGTCAAAGTGTAACTCCTCCACTTCTTTCGAGCTGTTGACTTATAACTCTTATTAAGAATCGTATCAACCCGTTATGTGGACCCAAATACAATCAGCAGTTACGGAGAGTTACTCTAGAAATGATATCACTCGAATACTTGACCGAAAAGGACACCGCTCCGCCCTGTATTCGTAACCAGTGTCAGAATATATGTTCGCTTTATTCAGCTGAGCTCAGGAGTTCCCTCACTAACCATAAGAATTAGCGTAAGACTTCGGATAGAAATGTGTAGGAATCAGTAGGAACCTCCCTAAATTTCCTCCCAGAATTTTCATCTTGTCACCAACACATGTAGTTGACCATATGCATATTCCCCTGGCACTGCCCATTGCCTTACCTTCTCGTGAGGAATATCCTTGAGAATTCGATCAACATTGCTGCTGACTCTCCTCAGCATCGAGTTGAGGTAGCGTTCGTCCATTCCTCCAGCCAAAGTAAATGTCAATGACCAATCGCATTTGCTTACCGAAACCCATTTTCTTCAATTCCACATCGGTCTGCCCCTTCAGAGCCTCCAAGTCGACGAAAGCCCTTTGGCGCGGAAGCCTCAGCGATCCTCTCCCACGGGCAACACTCTGATGGCAATCATCTCAACTACGATGAAATCCAGAATGCCTACTGCACGAGTTGAACCAGATACGGTTGCTTCAGGCTTAATATCCCCAGCAGGGACAATCTCGATCGTAGTGAGCGAGTTCGGCTCAGCAGTCTTGGTGTAACCTGTCAACTACGCCACTGATTTCCACTAGAAAAAGAATGACGTACCCATTTGCAATGATTGGATAACAGCAATTTTATGACTCTCGAATTGGGACAATAATTCAGCAACAATCTGAATAGCCCATCGAGCACGTACTGGCCCTCACTCTATGCTACATCTTCCAAACGCCCAAGCCTCAGAGTCGTGGTGGTGTGGACGTAAAATCTGAGGTAATGGATGATAGCATCCTGATTGCCCATGAGGAGTAGCAACAGCAGACCTACGTGTTCATCATAACACAGATGAGGACCAACACCATGAGTATAATCAATGGTGTAGTCAGACCGCGACTTGAAGGAGTTCCCCTTGCATTCACGACTTCAGAGTGATGTACCATGAACCAACAACTTCAGTCATGATCATACATCATAACATGAGCTCATTCCTTCCCTGGTCATTCGAATGACTCCAAAGAGACATAGACATAACCTTTCCCCGAGTTCACCATATATAGTAATATGACGACCCTCCGCACATTTTGGTAGAGCTAAACCGACCTCTCATGCTCGAACGGAGAGATGATGATGCTACATCTTGAGCCAGGCAAAAAATTGAAGCCAGCGACTCCCTTGAAAATAAATTTCGACTCGACCTCATCATGATGCAGCGAGAACATGAGAATCTCCATAGTCCACGAACTCGACGACCCCAACAGTTGAACATTCGTCTCCTAGGTGAACTACCCTCGACTAACTAACTGAACCCTCTACCATTGACTTCAAGTTGGAATGGTATTGACAAAATTGATCACCCGTTGGGCTGCTGTTCGACACCATGGATCCTGTTGACATTGCCTTGTAACACTAGCGAAAAAATAGGATTCGAATACAATAGCAACAATACAGGCTGTATTATACAGCCTCCTACTAGCCATAGTTAGGAGGAACACATTGGGCAGACGGATTCCACACCACACAACTATTGGACGATGGAGTGGTCAGCATCCACAGGGTAACAAAAATTCTTAATAAGGTATTCAACCTGAACTCATTAATACTGATGCTAAGGATAATGCGAACCATCTTGACTCTAAACCGGAGCATTCCATTCAAAGTCCCACGAATCGTGGGCGACGATGTCAACAACGCATGAATAAAATATACACCATACCTTTCGCAAAATACAACAACCATTCTAGACCCATGAAGACAGTTGATGGCGAACCTATGCATCAGACTCACTCACATCACATTACTCGCGGTAGCGGTCTGCATGATTGAGGAAACACACGGCAAAGTAGCTGTTCCGGACTCTCCCAGAAAGGCACTCCCATGGCAGTGGTGACGACGACATCGGACGATTAGTGTTTATGAGGACCAACAATGCCTCAGTAATATACCAAAATCGTCGTGACTGATAGTCAAGATTCCCTCTACTGATATACTCGTGCACTGTCCACATAGCCCTGTCCCTCAGCTCATGTATGGCTTCTAACTCGTCTGTACACATCTGCCCTTTTCTATCTACCCCGTTCTGCTCTAGTCGTTGAGTAGAACAGTGCACTCGAGATAATCATCAACAGAGAATTATAATCAGATTCTCGTTCGCGCCATGATCATCATCATCATCATCATCATTCGACGACGATCATAATACGGTGGTCGACACTTTCACACCCATCACATATCAACCTCAACAAGTCGCTACAATGACCATCGGAACATAACTAATACCAGTCAGATTTGAAACTGTCAATAATGGATGAATTCCCTTCACTAAAGCCGACTGAATTCTTACTGATTTGCCGATTGAGATAACACTTCACTGGGCATAATAGGGTGCCCTAGAAGAGGGGGGAGGCCTGATTATACTCCATATATACTATCTCCACCATGAGCTCAACTAAGGGATTACTTCATCCAAAAGAGACACACTGTGTGCTACGAGGGATGGGGACAGCGACAATGATGATGCACCAACAACTTCCAGGACCCTTCCATTGACAACATCAACATACCAAGTAGTAGTAGTAGTAGTAGTAGTAGTAGTAGTAGTAGTAGTAGTAGTAGTATTAGAGTAAATAATGCGGGGAGGCTAGAATGAGCGAGTTTATAAAAACATCGGTACCAATAGTGGTCATGACCTAATGCAGCCGAGAGGTTATTGGAATCACACACGACTAATATGAACACTACTTTTCTAAAAACTTAGTAACTTCTCCATTTACTCTCAGAAGATGGACTCGCTGATCCTTCCCAAGTGCAGAGACCATAATGTATTCTTCTTGTTCTTGTTGTTTGTTAGTTAGGGTTGTTGTTCTTCTTGTTGTAGCTATAGCTGTATAACGTTTAACATTCGGTAATATAAGACGAGTGACTATCCTTTTACCACTACTCATATACCATATATGAATATCACCACATCTCATCAACACCAACAGGCGACCATCATAATCTCTACTAAATGCAATACCACTTATAATATCATCATCATCAGAGAAAGAGGAGTAATCACCAATCTTCGCAGTGCGGTGCCATTGAGCATCAACATCATCGTCATCACGTTGCAATAGATAAAGGCAATTATCAGGAGTAGATACAGCTAATCTACCTTCTGATATATATGCAACTTTATCAACCCGGATCGGCATCTTCCAAGCCTCACCAGTAGCACTATCGACCAACAGCTCAGTGCCATTCGCGACCATCACGTTCGCGCCCATAACGATCACATCAGTCGGGTTCCAAGGAGTGTAAGGCGACCGAGGCCAAGAAGAAATGCCATCGGTCGCAACGACAGAGCCATCATCGATATAATCCAACCCAATAGGAGTAAAGAAGGTCGGGAAAGAGGCAAGCCCCTGAGTATCAGGTGAGGAGGATGCTTCAAAGATCGGACCCGACAAGTCGTTGCCAGTGGGTACTCCAGCACACACTAAAATCCACCAAATAAATCTGAAAATCAAGACTGTTAAGCACATGCGTTGAATAACGACCTCACCCGACTGCCCAAACTCCTGAAATAACTGCCGAAATCTGCTTATACACGGACCACGGTCGAAAGCAAAATCGCCCTATATTATCGCAGGGATCACCTTTCTTACTCGCCTTCACATCCTCACTGTAACTACACCAATTGATCTCAAAGTAAACTACTCAGTTCCACCTACCCAGTAGAGAAGCTTCCACTGGTCTTATCGGATACACGCACTTCATCTTTCACATTGTCGGACCCGTTTACCTACATGCGTTGAGGAAATGCAAGATAGCAAGTGAAAGCTAATGCGCTACATCTCTCAAACAGGACTCCTTCCAACGGTCCTCTGGTGCTGGTGATTGACCATAGTGCGCTTCCACCCAGTTACCTACAGCACCACAGCAAGTAGATGTGTTGATAAGAATAAAAAAACTTTGTAGAGTTCTCGTTGGTTTTTGTACACTCCAAGTCCAAGTCGTCTATAAATTTTCACAACGTAGTAAGAGAACTCTAGAACTCAGCTGAGTAGTGCAAACATATTTTTCAACACTGGCCTGAACCATTAAATTTTCCCAATAGTTTTTCACGGAAAAAAACCCTCTCTCTCACCCACCGATTTTCCCACGCCCTTCCTCCATCAATGCCAACTGCGAAACTTCCCTGAGAGAGAGATGCGCCTGCGTGCAGATCGAAAAACGATCTACTTGTTTCCTCCGCGTTCCTCGACGTGGTCAGTACAGCCCACTGAACCCAATATTTTCTCGTCCTTTTTCGCCAATTCTTCGAACTCATCCATATCGTCCTCTCTAATGGGGAACTCACCATTGCGCTCATAGTCCCACTCGAAATCACCAGGCCTCCTCTTCTGAACAATATACGAACGATGGTCTCAACTATAAGATTCATATCATGCCCAATAATACATCAACATCTCAATGTTTGGGACTATACCCATGACCAAATACATGTGTTGGCATCCCAGGGAATTGTTGTTGATTTTAGTGTAATTCTACCCGAATTTATATGTAAATATGATGAGGAAACTCCTGAGTTCAGCTGCGGAGAGCGAATATATATTCCAATATTACACTATCTCGTTAACTACTTTACCGTGAGTTTGGAAATCGCAAACTTGGGCAACTCTATTATCATAAAGGTTGAACCCAATCCTCCAAACGGAAGTTTTGCTAAGAATTTGAATTTCCTCAAAAACACAAGGTAATCTCAACAGATTTCACCCAAGGATTAGTCCAAAGATAGTAATTAAATTTTATACCAACGAGACTCACATTAATTCGTCCTTCCGTCATCTGTTCAACAACAAAACTCCGCAGCGGGTTTTCGTCCCTTAGAATATCTAAACACTAAGATCAGACAAGACCACTTCGACAGAGGCCTCACCTGAGCTCATGCTGACGATGTTGAACTTCCTTGGCAGCCTTTCTGATACTTCCAACGCTTGCAGAACGAGATAATAATACCAGAGACAGTGAAAGGCGATCGAGGCCAGAGCCACGTCTTCACCTGATATCGACAAAAAACCATCAAATACCTAGCCGAACATTGGATGTTGAGTAAGGCCAACTCGTGCTGAGAGTTGACCACAACGAACTGAACTGCGAACGGGTATTTTCGACAGATTTTGCCTCCATAGTTCATAAGTGGACATGTAATATCCAACTATCACATGAAAAATCAAAATCTCATAAAATATATGTATACACTTAGAATTAGATCAATATTAACCCACAGTGTGGACCGCGTAACTGTCCGCAGAAAACAGAGTTCATCGAGTCACCCCCACAAAAGATGACTTTCTCTCGAGCTACCACAGCTCTAGTATGAGCTCTAATCCGGGCAGTATTGAAATACGTATGTTCACTTTTCCTCAGCTGAGGTGGGGAGTTCCCTCACTAGACTTCGAAACCTTACAGAAAATTAAAGATTCTTCTGAAATTTTCTCAGAATTTCGATGTCATATCTCCAGAATTTTCCCACGTTGAATTCGGCTATCGTCTCAATGGTCTTCTAGGATGGTCACCTGTGCTCGCTGCTCTGCATAGTCCAACGTAGCAGCTACCGTCGCCGTGAGAGGCGGGAGGTAAGTTAACACTATCATCACAAGGAGCTCATTATAACTCTCGAATGTGAGATTCATCCTAATGTGTAGCATTGCCGCAGTGGTGACAACAACGACAAATGCCCAGGCGCCCCACACCTCATGATCTCCCACCATCGTAGATCTGACAAGCGTTGAGGAAATGTAAGAGAACGCAAGTGGGCAAGATGAGTTGTACCCGAGGGCGAAATCAGACAAGGTCATGAGCGTCTGGTTGGTGGCCAAGACCATGAAAACTCGAGCGTAGGAGTCGTAGCCCAGCCATGCTTTCTGGAGGCGTTGGAAAAGCGAAAAGTGAGATACAGTGTACCTGATGATTATCATACTACCACTACTACGACCGCCTAGTATGCAGCAAATTGAGAATGAACTCGTGTAGTCGTAAGAAAGAAACCCAGAACTTGTCCCGAAAGCCGATGAGATGAACAGCAGCTAAAAGGTGGTATACGACACAAGCAGTCCCTAATGCTTCCTCAGGGTCCATCCCCGCGGGTAAATTATCTTACTTCTCATCTTCAGCATGATCCATCATACCGTTCTTGCCAACGTCCCTTGCGTCCTTCCGAGTCGATCCAGCTTTGGCTTTCCATCGATGAGAGAGCCGCTGTACCAGGGGTACTCGTAAGATTGATCTCACGGGGGTGCATTCAAACCTCTGAAATAAGAAGCCGTTGAGAAAGCGACAGCAATTGCAGGGCGTGGGAGTCGAACCCGAGACCTATCCCATCCCCCTTACTTCAAATGTGTCGGCCGCATTGTCAATATCAGACATTGTAGGGAGAGGCAGCCTGAACAGAATGGGGTGTCTGATGACGCCACCATGGCCGAGCTCCCTGCCTTAGCCATCGAGTAAGGAGTTTGACTTCGAGAGACTGGGCAACGATGGAGGCGTGGAGGGAAAAGGAAACGGATAGTAGAAGGAGGACAGTGCTTGCTGATAAATTGAGGATCCTGAATTGAGCAAAAGCATCACCCATAGAATTAGAACCCACGGCCTCCCGAGTAAGAGCCAAAATACATAACCAACTGAGCTAAATAAACTCTACTCACCAAATGAACCACAGCCATGAAGGGACTGCTCTCGGTTGAGGAATATCAGGTGGTATCATACCACAGTATATTGAGTGCACAGCAACGGCGAGTCCTACTGAATTCACTGTCATATATGTGTCCATCCTCGAGATAGTCAGGCCAAAGAGATCTCGCAAATCCTCGCGATAAAGTCCGATCTGACAACTTAGCACATTTTACGATTTTTCAATCAGAACTGCCCTGGCGACCCACCTGCGCGATCCTCATGTCCTGCACTTGATGAACAGCCCATTGCCTCAGGGTCTGGTCTAATATAAATACGGCTTTATTATACGAAAACAACGTTCCCGCTGCAGAGCCGACGAGAGAAGCTCCTGCGACCGCGACTGCCGCCGTCGTTGTTGCCATTGTTATAATAAAAATTCAGACAAACTCTATTCCGGTGTGGAGGAATATACACATGGTCAGCAGATGTGTTGGTGACAGTATAAAATTGGGTAGAAATTTCGGAAAATTATTGTTGATTTCTGTACACTTATACCCTAATTCGTATGAATAACAATAATTTTCCCAATTTTTCCTCCCAGAATTTACATATCGTCAACAAGAACATGTGCATCTTTTCCCAATCGCTGTACTCATTCTACTCGAACCTCTTTCATCTCCAACACAAACACACTGAGTATCTCACCATATACACACACAGAAGAAACTGAACACTGTTTAGGAGCTAAAATAAAGAGGGAGCCTTCCGCCGCCGGCATAGAGCGGCTCGACTGCTGTTGCTGAAGGAGACCGCTGAATCAACTGCTCCAATAACGGAGTATTGCTAAAGTCTAATAGAAAGTCTTTTGATATCCCAATAATAGGGACAGAGCAAATACAGTTACAAGTATCTTAGCTCGCCCATGGTAAGATACAGAGGATGCCCAGATTTCTTCAGCCTAATCTGATCTTCATCGAGATCGCTTGGTGATCCTTCCCAAGTGCAGAGACCATAATGTATTCTTCTTCTTCTTCTTGTTGTTGTTTGTTAGTTAGGGTTGTTCTTGTTGTAGCTATAGCTGTATAACGTTTAACATTTGGTAATGTAAGATGAGTGACTATCCTTTTACCACTACTCATATTCCATATATGAATATCACCACATCTCATCAATACCAACAGGCGACCATCATAATCTCTACTAAATGCAATGCCACTTATAATATCATCATCATCAGAGGAGGAGGAGTAATCACCAATCTTCGCAGTGCGGTGCCATTGAGCATCAACATCATCATCATCGTCATCACGTTGCAATAGATAAAGGCAATTATCAGGAGTAGATACAGCTAATCTACCTTCTGATATATATGCAACTTTATCAACCCGGATCGGCATCTTTATTTCCCAGCCCTCATCATAATCGATCAGATGCTCGCTTTTTGATGCGACGAGTAGACTGCCGTTGACATACTCGATATCAGAAATATCTTTGCCCATTTCCGGACCTCTTCCGTATCTTGCTGGCCACAAGCTCACAGCATCCGCATACACCAGTGAATCAGAAGACACCGCAGTCGAGCTCATACCAACCGGTACGAAAAAACTACCGGTTGCATTCGATAAAGTCGTAGTGCTCTCAACAGTGGCTCGAATATCATTGCCAGTAGGGATATGTAGGAGGTCCAGAACACACCAGACCACTCTGAGAAAGAGTATTGGGGAGAATCTTAGGTTACTCTCAATAAGATTCAAAACAGGTCCGCTCGGACCACCGTATTCTGTTAAAAAGTCTTCCACTTGAACGATTACCAACAGTATTGTGTATTCGCTCGTCACGTTATGCATCGAATCGAAGAGAAAACGTGACCATAACAACATCGCCTCAAATGAACGAATACAGAGCAACCGTTTCGATTAAGCTAATTCTAGAAACCAAACTACTACTGTCGATAACGGTGACACACACGGTGACACCTGCATTAATTTTGCACGTGTCAGCATCGTATTCGACCTTTCCCCCCACCCGAGCCTACCCGACAGTCCACGCCAATACCACAACAATAGACGCCTGCTTATACACTGACCAGGGTCGCAGCGAGTAGTGTTGGAAATCCAACACTGCTCTATGACGATGTTCATGATCGCCACCGACTCCCCCTTGTGATGAGCTGTGGTCCGAAGTAGCCGTCGTTGTTGTTGTTGTATATGAGCTCCCGCTTTCTGATGAGGACGTCCTAGACGCCCACGATCTAACACAAGAAAGAGGAATCCTTCAGCACATGAACAAAGACAACAACTGTCACCTCAAACTGTCACCACTCTTCTTGCATTCCTCATGAAATTCATCTACCGATTTCTCCAGATTCCACAAAGCATCCTGGAGCCTTCTCGAATTGGGCTGCGACGGCCGACTCAGTGTACTAGCAGTAGACACTGTGTCGCTCTAAAATAACATTGACTTCCAATACCACGCCTCTGCCACTTCTTCTCACCAGAGACCGTCTCAGCACAGGTTTGAATCGAATGTCGCCCGTCACCTTATTCACGTAGTAGTTCACCGAGGAATCATCGTAACCTACATCATAACAGGACACCCGGGTTCGATCCCTGCACCTGTCAATTTACCCGAGTTTTCCGTCGCCATCTTCACCCAATCCTCCGCAGTCGACTCTTCCTCCTCTTTCGACCTTCGCTCCGCTTTCGACTGGAATCCGTCACTACCAAAAATTACAATAAATTAACCAATAAAAACGACAACCGTATAAAGATTCACATCGCGCACCGCGAAGATTTTCTCACTACTACGATCATCTTCCAAACCTAATCCGTGGGAAATATGCACGGAGTCAACTACACGTGTCGGTGACAATATGTAGACTCTGGGGAAATTTAGGGAAATTCTCATTCATTCCTATATACTACTACCCAAATTCTTATATCAACTCCTACACTTATGAGAAAACCCCTGAGCTCAGCAGCTGAGGAGAGCAAACATATATTTCAGGCCTTATCCATATCTGTCGGAAAAATGCATATGGTTGGCTAAATGTTTAGTGACAATATGGAAATACCGAGAAAATTCTGCTAGTTTTCCTCGATTTTCTCTGCATTTCTACCCGAACTCGCGCGTAAACTTCTCTAGTTAGTGAGGAAACTCCCCCGAGCTCAGCTGAGAAAAAGTAACACATCTCCCAACACTGCGACCTACCGTATTTTCTGGAATTCTTTCCTGAGATCTTCCAATTTATCTTGTTGCGCTCCCGACAGCTTTCCGGACGACTTCTCGTCATCATCAAAAACTTTCTCCAATTTTTTTTCTTCACGTTCGCACATTTTCTCCACCGTTTCCTGCCCTGCCGAGTCCTTCGACAAATTACTAGTACCCCATAAAAAATCTCCAGGATTCTTTGCCTGCCCAAATGACAAGATTCAAAACAGGTCCAACACCGACACACCTACATCTATTCCCAAACCATGTAGTTCATCCTTCACAAAATGTTGCATCGAATTATCACTCATTACATCTAAAATGAACAAGTCCGCTGATGCGAAATGTTCTTCCTCCTAACCTGAGGAGATATCAACAGTATTGAACTTCTCCGGTAGGCCTCCCCTCGATTCCATCGCTTGTGCAAAAACGAATAGAATCCATAAATCGTTGAGCACAAACGATGCCAATGCCCAAGCACTACCTAAAAATAACGATTTAACTCGGGTAAAAACGCCCGAATCTGTGAATATCTTACCCGCCGTTATCCAACCAGCATAGTCCATAGTAGCCGCCACCCCAGCAGTCAAAGGCGCCAAGTAGATGAGACCAACCATCATCACAAGCTCCCATTTGGTAAGAGTGAGATTAATTCGGAAATGCAACATCGCGCCCGTCGCCACGACTACTATAAATACCCAAGCCGCCCATGGCTGCCGATCTCCTATAAGGGTTGACCTAAACAGAACAACTACTATATAACCGCTCACACAAAACTGGGAAAATATGTGAGATGAAACTTCTTATAGTAAAACGAAGCTATAAAACTCCACTTCTACTGCTACTGAGCACTGCCCTCATTATCATTATTATTACCCTAATGCAAAAACAATAAGTGTCAACAACAACTGGTTGGTGCCAACAGCCATACACACCCTAGCATAAGCATCATAACCCTGCCAGGTCTTCTGCACATGTTCGAATAATTTGAAGTGAATATGGTGCCTACAAACAATACCACCAATCCACTAAGAACGGTTTAACCCGTGTAAAAACATCCCATTCCCCCATGTTACAACAGATCTCCCTCGCCACTAACTCGGCCATCTTTATCGACCTTTTTATATACATTCATATCCGCCTTAGTTCTTCGCGGGTCAAGCCGCTGCAGACCCGGTATACGTAAAATCGACGACACCGGGCAACACTCGTAATCCTAAACCACAATTTTGGAGGAATGTGTGTTCTCTTTCCTCACCTAGCAACCTCAACAACAGCTCATAGACGTTCACCCACGAATTCGAGTACAAGTGTACAGACACCGATGAGAATCTCCCAAAATTTCTCCCAGATTTTTCATAATATCGCCAACACATGTAGTTCACCATGTGCACACTAAATGTAATAAAATACGACTACAACGATTCCATCAGTAGCAATATCACGGACGTGCTAATGTTACTACCATCTACCCGACAATTAACTCCGATGGGCGTGCATAAAACCAACCGTAAAAACAATAACAAATCCGACTACACGGCGCGAACACATTATGAAAAGCATCTCGGCAACAAAAATCACATTCCCCTCCCTCACAAGGCGCCCTTAATATGAAATATTATAATACGTTATAGGGTATTATCTATATATCTATTCATAATATTGGGATAAAATTATGGTATATACTTTACTAATATCTGTACTGTGATAGATTCCCGTATTTCAATTTTTCTGTTACCTCAACAGTAGCCGATGCAGCCGCTATATCTTCAGTTCTCGGTAATGGTAACCTAACACATAATAAGATAAATTATAGTATTCCTAATAATAATCTGATAGAAAATCCTCCCAGGAAATACGTGGTATGAATATTGAAAATTTAGTTTATAGATATTAAAGTTTCACCCGTTTTACGCGAAGTGACATAATACTCTGTGTAAAAACCCGATATTCGCGCAATGCAGTACTACTTTATTTCACGACTACTGCAGCAGTAGTCGTGAAATACATCTTTCATATCACAGGTGAAACTCCAGTATATTAATAGATACCATAATTCATATCTTCATATGAGATTAATATTTTCCCCAAAGCCTTGCGGAAAATATCACAAATACAAATGCCAATATCCCCGCATTACCTAAGCCACTGTGTGAGGAGTTTCACGGCCATAGACTGAGCTGTGATGGAGGCATGCAAAGACAACCAGATCGATATCAATAGGAATATGGTAGACCCAGAAAGGTTCAAACACCTGATCATGAACACGTTAACAATCAGAAATGACTTCTCTCTATTTTCGACCATCAAAAAGATCAGTAATAACTTTCACCCATGTCACGATGCTTTAGAAATTAATTCACCGATATAAGGTATACTGCATTGTGGAAAAATACGCACATGAAAACTACGGGTTGGTGACAATATAGAACTGTGATGAATTTTTTTATTTCTGTACACTTCTACTCGTACGTTTACTCCCATACTTAGTAAGGAAACTCCTTAAAAGAGCTATCAATATTTCAACACTATTATACTCATTCATTTCACGAAAAAACATTCCCGTACCAACAAGATCGATTCCCGATCCTATAGTAAATACAACTCTCTTTATCACATGTAAAATGATCAGGGTAAAACTCTTCCGCATTTTGACCTATCTAATTCGGGATGGATTAAGCCTAAACTGCAGTGACGATATTTCAAAACCATCGTATTACCACATCCACCACAACCACGGTGGGTTCTGGACCGGCAACACTCCATCGTAGAAGAGGGCAATGCAGAAACCCAAGAGTAAGGTATTCACTACTAGGTAGTTGTCCATCTTAGATATTGTCAATCCGAAGAGGTCTCGAAGATCTTCACGATATAAACCAACCTAACAATAACGCAAAAAATCCTAATGAACGTGAATGAAAAATCGTTCAAAAAATTTCACTAAAATTCATAAAATTTACAAATAGGAAAATCTTCAGACCTCATTTCGCACTCGAGAAACTTATGTGATAATTTCCCCTTAGTACCTGTTGGAGGCGAATATTTTGAATTTGATGAACTTTCTGTTGTCGCAATGTTTGGTCAAATACAAACACATCCTTATTATACGAAAACAGCGAACCGGCGCCATTCGCGAGAGCCGCGCCTGCCGCTGCTATTTCCGCCATTCTTAGAAAAAAAATACAAACTAAAACTGAAAATTTCCTCCAACATCATTTAGCTAGGGAGATCTCATCCATTCCAACTCGACTATTCTACCTCGAAATTTTACCTCGTTTTCACACCCACCTAAAACTGTCTTCACCTACAGCACATCTGAGCCCATCGCCCTTCTATCATCAACTGTAAACGTGACAAGGCGAGAATGAGGAAAGAGTACGAGACGAACTATTGTGATCAGTTGAGACAGACTAGCGTAGTAGCACACAGCTTCAAATATAGTTCGCTGAGATTCATCTGTATGACCGTTAAAGGGGGAAACACTAAGAGAAGGAATACAATCATTACAACGGGTTGGCCCTATACAACGGGTTGGCCCTATGCAGGCAACTTCCCAGCTGCTGAGTCTATCACAACGCTATCAACCGGCACTGAAGTAGTTGTCTTTTACATCAGGTCAACAACGCGGCCAGGCGACGCATTGTCATCACCATACGTGTTAGTGTGGGAGAATCTATCGCGAAAGTTCTAACAAGGAAATCATTGATAATGAGGCCCGCATGATCGACTCATAGGCGACCGACTTACGACATATTTCACAAATCTTACATTAAAATCAAGCGGAGCGAAGCATTGAGATCATATCGCATAGCGCAGCTGGCGGAGCACTCGTCCTTCATGCGTATGACTTAAGTTCGATTCGAGGATACTAGTTTTTTATATACCCTCACAAATCAAAAATCTGATACCAATTCTAGGGCTTCACTTATACGCCCATCGACAACTCAGCACGAATGTCAGCCATGGAGAATACTTTATGCACTGCAGATTCTAATTCAACAAAGTGACCAGTGGTCACCACTTAGCGCGGCAAATGGACGACATGCGGCGGTGCGTCAGCATCCAAGGTCGACACCTTAACACGAAGCTTCAATACCATACCTTTCTCGAAAGCCTACCAAAAGATTCTTCGTAGCTGTATCAACCAGGACCATCCTATGGCGATCAACCCTACTGAACTCAGCACACTCGAATTCACAGCTCTCCAAGCGAGTGTTGCTGCTCGAAGAAGGACCGAATACCCACCTGCAACAACACCAACCTGAACTCCATCTCAACGATTTACAGCCTCAAGAAGAACATTCCCGTTTTAAATCATGGGCCCTAACGCCTCACATACCAGCAAATGAGCAACTACTGTATTCGACTCTCTGTTGTGTGGGGGGTAAGAAGAAAAGTCGTGGCACCCGGTCGCTTTGGAAGGGGAAAACAAATGTGTAGTTGTACAGAGTGTTCCACAAGTATGGAATCTTAATTTAGCTCTATTAAGCTAGTTGATGATTTTATGATTACGATTGTAGATAGAATCACTAGATTCCATTAACCATTGTCTTGAGTTCCCCAAATGCTTAACAGAATGCGAGTGGTGCAAACAAAATGTATCCGTAAAACCATGCCACAGTTCCTTGTGATAAAATACTCACTCCTCTCCGCTCAACTTCCACTTCCTCTCTTGAGACAACTCATTGTATTGTCGTACCACACCAGCGTTACCTTACACAGAAACAACATTCAATCGACTCAATCAAATACGGCAACTCAATAGGGGCTCCCCTCGAACACCACGACATATCTATTTCGACTCGTTGTTTCACAGAGGCTATCGAGCTACAACCACTCCTCGACAAGGGCAGCGAACCATCAACCCTACATAGCATATAAAATACAGCAGCCTGGCGGTCAGTTCTGCGTCGCGCCGCCTTCATCGCCTCATTGTCGCCTTCCCTCTCACGAGGAGGATGCAAACCAGGACCCGTCGCTCTAATAGAAATCCATATCTCCAACAAGGCATGAAGACGATCACCTTTTGGAAGGCCTGCTTCCTGTCGGTGTCAACCTTCGAGTCTCTTTCCATGGACACACAATAGATCTCACCTACCACACCTTCCTCAAATACATCCGCCTCAGCAATGCCCTACATGGGAGGTGGCTGCCTCTGTAGCGGTTACCACAATACTGCTCTTTGAAACATCGAGAAGTAACGACTCCTTCACGCCATTAGAAGACCTTCAAAACAGCGCTAGTGACCCCAAGAGAGAGACAAGGACTCACCGCGAAGCCCCACGATGACGTTGTGAAGATACCACCAAAGACACCACCTGCCCCGATGAGGAAGTGACCAGATAACGATCGATCATCATCAAACCTATGACAAGTCCAATAAGGCTACTCTCGAACAACTATAATAAGGAATGCTTTCTCATTACACTTCATATTCCCATCTACCATCATAAGGCCGTACAATCCACGATGTTTCTTACTTTCTACTCTACCACTGAGCTATACTATGCAAACCATATTAGAAGATACTCCCTTCACTCCTGCAGTTCCGAGCCAGAAACTCCCCTCTGTTTTTCACCAGCAATTTCAATCCTCACAAATACGACAACGTTCTCGTCCAACATTCGCCTCAAATCCCAGCGTGAAACATTTGCGACTCAGCAACAGCGTGCATGCACCGTCAGCCCTACCTTCTTGGGATCTCCTCATCGACCGTCCCTCCTGCTCCGGAAGGATCGGCAGGCAATCCGTCACATCTATGTCCTCAAAGTCGTCGAAATCTCTCACACAGTCCGCCACCAGTCTACCCCCGACACAGTGCTTACCCTACCCCTCCGGAAGCTCACCTAATCCTCCTCTCTTCCCTTTTATTCTCTGATCCTCCATCCCCCATCGATTGCTCCACCACTTCGAACAGCTGGAGGACGTTGCGGCCTCCGACCAACACCGTCCGCCCCGACAGACCAGCAGTTAACACACGGAAAGGGTTCACAAGACTCTGATCGAACATCAGTCCGGACATTCTCCGATGACCCGCCGTTACCTCTTTAACGTCAACACTCCTCCCCTCTCCAGAATCGTCACCTAAATCACATCGCCATCACTTCCCACGGACGCCCCCTACCTGTTTCGACTCACCACTGTTCATGACAAATTCCTCCATCCCTACCGTCGCCGCCACCGCAACCCGAACGGCTGGCGTTTCGAGCTCCACAGAATCGTGGTGTCTGCGAGTCCTGTAGTGATTGCCTTGTTGAGCGCTGCGTTGTGGGAGGACCTGTGAGGAGAATACGGAGAGGGGAGAAATCAAAAGACACTTGATGAAAATGACACCTATGAAGCCTGACCACATTCCGACTCGTGCTTGGAAAGGACACAGAAGTTCTCCAAAAAATTTTCTCATTCCACTCTGGTAAAACTTCCAGGAGGATACTCCTAAGAGCAGCTAAGATCACCTCGTCCAGTCTGATGATATGCCTTAAGGCGCCTCCTTCCCCGATGCTCTGAAAGTGAGTTTTCATTAACACCATAGGATTTGACAGCTGCCACCTACATTTCTAACTTCTACTACCGATACCAGGAGGACTCTATTGCCGTGGGGGAGGAAGGTCATCAATCTGATGATACGAAATCGACCTACAAAATGCACGCAGACACATAAGATTCTCTCACCTGATACATGCGGCTGCTCCACCGAGCATATCAGAGATCACACATTTCGCCTCCAAAATGGTATTCATATCCACCAGGCCGCCAGCCCACCCCCCGGGCTGATCTCCATGCCAACACCAGACGACCTCGCAAGAAGAGGCGTTGAGGATATGCAAGATGATGGCAATGCCTACCACATCCTTCCCGTTGGTCGTAGCAAAGATATCCAACTTATTCGGGTGTTGACATATCGCTTCGACAGGCTCATCCGCCGTCTCACCTGAAGGTCCCCGGTTCGATCCCACCACCCTCCAGTATTTCTACCTTCTCCAACCACCGTGCTGTTTATCGGGTCTACCACATACGCACGCGAGGCCATCAGCGGCACTTCTCGTCTCGAACCCGTGCCACACACCGGCAGCTGAACACGATTGGGCCTCATCCGTATCTTGCCAACTCCAACCTAAGATTCCCCATCCCTACATCTGCGGCCACTAGACGTCTCCTCTCAGCATCGAAGAACAACGCCGTTTCGACGACCCCATTGGAACGGACCTGACGCTCCTCTAGATCCATACAGCAGTAGTAGACGGCTCCTACTACCACACTCGATCCTCCAACACCCCACTTCTTCTCGCTCATACGCTTCCCCTCAACGAAATTGTTGATGGTTAGGAAGACTCGAGGGATCGGACAGAAGGGCTGCTGATCCGACAACTCATCAGGAGTAACAATAACGAAGGGAAACCTCACCGGTTGGCTCCGGTCGTTGTAAAGGTCATCACATAAGGCCGACGCATCCAGTGCACTACCTGAACCATCAAAAACTCCTCGTCATCCCACTTCCTCAATAGCCTCATGGTAGAGCACACGACCACCAACCGGAAGATCGTCAGTTCCATCCCCCCTCCTACCAATATGCCTCCTCTCATGCCTCGCCATCTCCCCAACCTTCATCCAGTCCGGCGTCCCTCCCGGCGACTGGTTGATAACCGAATGATAGATCGATTGCCTCTCCACCGATCCTCCATTCGCTGGACTCTTAAACGACAAGTCACACGGACTCGATACCGGACCCTGACAAACACCGTTGAGGAAATGCAAGATTGCAAGATTCCTTCTTCTACATCCACCACCTTTCCTTCGAACTGCAGCTTTCTAGAGGGCAACACCGGCGAGGGGGACACGAATCGGCCGTCCTTCATCGAACTGCCACCATCACCACTCTCGAGCTTTCGCTTCTCTGACCGCTGTCGAGCAGCAGCAACTTCCTCCTCCCTTTTCCTTCTTTCTTCCAATTTTCTGCGACTCTCCTCCTCAACCTTCCTAAGCCTCTCCTCCTCCTTCCTGGCAGCCTCTTCCTCTTCTTGCATCTTCAACGCCGCTTGAATGCGCATCTCCTCGAGTCGTTGATTTTCCTTATTACGTTCATCAATCACCTAACCGTAGCCTCTCGACATCAACCACATCACAAATATCATTCAAAAAGTAGTGCTAAAATATATGTCCGCTCTCTCCAGCTGAGCATAGGAGGTGCCCCACTGATTATACGAGTTTAGATATGAATCCGGATATAAAAGTTCAATAACCAATGAAAATTTCCCAAGATTTTCCCAGAGTTTTCATATTGTCACCAACATATGTGGTTGACCATTCACATGTTTCCCCCCACACTGATAAAGAAAGAGATTACTCATCCCACAATCACTGATCACGCTTCATTTCCCTATGCCAAACTGATACCAACAAACCTTCATTTCCCCCACATTTCCAAAGACTCCACCACGCCACTAACCACGACGGCTACATTCGTACGTGATTGTGACATCAACTGCACTGCAGAGATCCTCCCCCTACCAACTCACCTTTCGTGCAGCTGCCAAGAGCCTACAGGTGGCGCGTTTGATCCTATACACCAACCATATCTTATCAGCGAGGATCGCCAGAGTCCGGAGCCGCCTGATGATGAGGATGATGATAGAAAACTTGGGTGGTAACTCCTCACTTAGAAGCCTTTAGAATCTTAGGTAGGCGCTGGCAAATAATAACTACGTGGATGGCGCTCTTGAATCTCTGCCTTGCAACCCTCGCCAGAACTTCCTTAATGATATTTACATCCACCTGAAGGGTACACACTCGGACCTATTCCGTATCTTCCATATTCAACCTCAAGATACTTACTTGAGCCTCACCACTTCCCTTCAACTTCTCCAAGAACTCCAACTGCCGTGCCCGGAGGAAGACTCTCGTGAGACCGACCGAGAATTCAGTTGAAGGCATCCCAAGACCATGCAACAGCGCCAATATGAACGACCGACTGATCACAACAACAGTCCAATCGCGTTACTCCATCCCTAGAAACCCTCTGGTATCCTTAGCGACATCTACTTCCAAATCCGAATCATGCCTATTGCCTGGGCATCACGGGGAGTTCTAGATTGAACAGATAGAGCTAACGAGGAGAATGATGGTTACGGACAATCTCGTTATTGCCTGGTCACACTAGGACCTCCTAAAGGCCCTCGACTATCCTCTGTCACATTTATATGCTCCAACCAATACTACAAAGCCAACGCCTCAGCAAACCACTCACACGAGGCAATTCTGAAACACGTAATGTTTTCAATTCCCCCCAGAACTCACTCATCCATTGCATGGAATCGTTTGGGCATCATATGCCTGTATCGATTGACAAGGTCCTTTATTGGTAGCCTATTGGGGTAACCATAATGCATCATATTCACCAACTCTACCGTGCCACATTGAATCACTTGAGATAGGACGTAACGCTGAGGACGAATTATCATCAACTTGAACCCCGCCATCTCATGAAAAGAACAAATTTCCCATAAACGGCAGCAGGCTGGAAACCTATGCGTGTTATTGTGGATCCCTTCCACGCAGCCGCTCTACCATAAATTGACCATCGACTTCCACACCAATGTTCCAGGTCAGCGCGGCTTGTGCGTTATCAATGCACGAGCTTCAAACACAGGCCGCCCCAAGCATCCGTTCCAAGGCATTCAGTAGATGCTACCCTTAAGACTCACCCTATCGAAATGATCAGGCATTTGCTGACTATTTGGATTGAAGCATCTGATGTAGTGCAGACCTGTCTTGTCGAGCATCTTCAACATCTTCTCCAACTCGTCCGTAAAATGCTTCCTCACCGACTTGAACTTTTCACACTGCATCGAGCACCCCTGAAACCACGAAAGCACCCCTTAACACAAATATGAGAGCTATGCATATCCTCGACTTAGATCTACCACGAACGCCCTCCCGACAGACCTCCTGATCGCCGAGCTCCCTGGCCCAGGCATTTGAGCTGCCCAATATAAGGCTCTCCATCTCGGGGACCATCCGTCCATTATTCTTCTCCATCCAACCACTCACAGTGTACGTCACCTCTCCTGAAAACATCGGCAAAATTCTGGATTTTCTCCCAGCACGCTCGACTCACCAGCATAATGGTCGATGATGAATCCACTCGTGATCTTCGCTCGTTCAATTTTCATTCCCTTCCGGAAGCCTCTATTGGGAGGAGCGCGTTGAGGCTTTGGCGGCTTCAGCTTGCAGCCAGCACTGCCGTCAAAGAACCTTTGTTGAACCTGAAAATGCCCCTGCCCGGTATCGAACCCGGGTCCTCTCAGTCCACCTCTCCAACGTATTTATCATCGTCCTCCGGCATCCCTCTCGAGGCCCGTAAACAACAGTCGTCTAAGATGCTCAGCGCGCCGCTACAAACCACAATAGCTCAGAAACGATATATCAAAAATTTCCTTCCTCACTGAATGACTCGAACCGTTGGTGTGGCGTCTGGTAACGGTACTGATTCCCATTGGATTCCCTCAGCTTCATACGCCTGCTGCTCCCTGTCTAATACCTGATGAAAACATTATCGCTCAAAAGCAGACGAATGAATGCTTATAGCAGATACCAACAATACGATTCGAATTGAGCATCCATGGGAGAAATTATTCAAGTCATTGTTTTTTGTATATTTATTGTGCTATAACCTAACAACTATTCCCAACGTTATTCATCTACTCGGAGAAACGCCAATCACCTTGGATACGAAGAACTGCTGCAGTCTCTCGTTGGTGAGATTGATGAGCAGTTGCTCGTATGAGTTCTTCTCTAAACTTTCAAAGCCGTAGATGTCGAGTACTGACAGTAGAGTAGCAATAAAATAACAAAAATCCACAACTTTGCCGAGAAAGTTTGGTGGCAAAATTCCGCCATGTCACAGCGCACTTCTTTCTATTGAAGAGTAACAATGCGTCCGCTGATTCCAGGAAGGCTTTTAAAATTAGCAGACGCGTGTTACAGGAAATCAAGCAGAACTCAAAAACTACAACGGTTGGTAAGATATCGCTAATGATGGCAATACACTGAACCTTCTCCATCGAATACACTCTCTGACTATTCCCTTTATAAAAATTGGTCCGATTGCTTGGTCCGGAAATACTGTAGATAAGGCTCATACTTCTCGAACACTTGAAATGTATGACGCTCAAACTCCTTCTCCAACTGTGGCATTTTTCGTACTATCAGTTAGCGCTGGTAAGGGGATGGTGGTCATATTTCTCAATCGGCTATCGTAAACATAAAAACTAATCGGCTTGCTGTGTGGAGCCAGTTGAGAATGGTAGCGTGCCCTTCGAGAACAGAATCGGGTCTTTCCCGATAGCGTCCACCACTAGCTCAGATCGTAGCGAGATGACTCAAATCCGCTCTTATCCTGCAAGGCTAGCCCAGCAATGGGAAGACGAGGTTCTGTTGGATCTCCAACAGAAGTTTTCTCATTTACCGAAGCAATAATGACGTTTAGTCATCCTAAGGCTCGTGAAGACTTCCGGCATGCTTTTACCACGCCCCGTAATACTTGTATGTTGCTCATCAGAACCTTATCGGCGTGAATGCTACATCTCTCTTGCCAACATCAAGCACAGGACTATAATGCGTTTGCTTTCCTGGAGCCTCATGCATAACCAATATCAGAATTGCAGTTTCTCATTCATCGTGGAACGAGCCAAGCCGCTCGACCAACATCGATGAAACCGGCTACTTAGCCTGTGCATGTGACACTCCTCATCCTTGAACACAGAATATGACTCTGATGCAGTGCATCAGATGCACACGTGACCCTGTTCCGTCGCACTTTGGTTCAAAAACCCCTCATTCTGTCCCCCGAGAGACCTACAACATGCGACTCCAAAAGGAGAGCAAAAACTGAGGTAGAACGGAATTATCAGTGAAAAAAAATAATTTTGGTTAACTCACGAGTTGCACAGAAATGTCTTAAGCGATCTTAGGGGCTTTCAGGCAGCCCTGCGTCCCCAAAACCCTTCCCATCAGTTGAATACTTCCAATGTGATTGTAAAGCCTCTCCATGTCGTTAGATCCGTCATTATATCCCATCAACATGTTCACCTTCTTCACAATGCGCTCGAATAGTCGGGCGTAGATTATTCTGATGAGTGTGTTGAGCGATTGGGTTACCTGGCAAACACCGAGAGGTCACTGATTCAAATATCCAACACGTTGATCCTAGCCGAGATAACCATAACGGATGAACATCGATTCAACCTACCTGTTCTGGTGTACGGGCTACTTGATAGGAACTAGCGGCATTATTCAGCTTCATTCGACGGTATCTTAGGTGAAAGCTAGTTACATACGATGGACGCCATTCGAGCATCACGTACAACAACGTTTTATTCAGCAGCATCGTGTCCAGACCGAGAAGGGATGCAGCATCGTCAAGCAGGAGGAAATCGTTTGCTACTAAGTTGGAGGCTAAAAAGAAATCTGTGGGTTGATCAGGAAAGATACAAATCAGCTACTCGTATCCATTCCTCCCTGAGACGGCGGTTCTGGCTCAGCCTGACTTGGCTCATGACCGTCTTCTGGACCTACAAACCGTTCTCAATTATGTCGTACTCAAGGTGATTGAGTTAGAATGGATGATCGAGTATCAACAAGTCGAGCCAGGAAAGATCCAACCTAGACCCCATCAACGGTTTATGGGGTCTAGGTTGGATCTCCGTGGTTGATGATTGACCAGCAGAGATAAGGTCAGCCAGGCCTCACTTCCCTCCTCCTCATCCTCTTCCTTATCTTCTTCAAATTCGACTCCGCCCAACAATAGCAACGCCGAGACGATCGAGAAGATATCACTGAACATTATCCAGCATAACACAGAATCGGTCCATAAAGACATCTCACTTCTGATCTTCCTTAGTCAGTCCAACTGCTGTCAAAGACTCACCTGAAGCGGGGTTGTAGAGCAAAGCTAATACTCCTCAGAAATGATGACACAATTATCCATATCAAAAAAGGATCGCCTCTTCCCAGTTGTTTACAGAGCTCAGCGAATTTAGCTGCATCGTGATCTCGCTGTTCGTTGCTGACAACAGAATCTCCTCCTTGGTTGGTGAGAGCATAATCACGACCTGACCAAACGAACCTATTTCGTATCCAACTCGATCGAACCTAGGATACTTACCATCATCTCCTCGTAACCTCAACATCTCCTGCTGCTCCTCTGTGCATCCCGCCAAAAGCTGGTAAAATACATGGTAATTCCTGAAGAGGCAACCGTCACGCGCCACGAAATTACCCCCTACCTTTCTCCCGTAGCGTGACTCGTAACCCTTGCGCTCTCCAACAGGAACGGAGTCAACGATGCACATACGAGTCGCCCTCCCTTAGTGTACCACAAAGACGAATACTTACCAAACCTGAAAGAAATATATAATAACGATTCCAAGGTAAACAGCGTCGACCTGCTGCTATTGTTATTTCGCACCGTCCTGGCATTCCCAAAGGCCTCGAGAATAGGATTAGCCCTCAACACCTGAACAAGCTCAGCATATCTTATGTCGTCTCTCGCACAAACATCCATCACCCTTATACCCACCTTATCGTAGAGCTCCGTAACAGTATGCTGCACCTGTCCTGTGATTGAGTGTACCTACCACGATTCAGCCTTGGATACCCTCAAAAGGCAAGTTCTGACCTGGGGTGTATCTTCAGTCCAACCACTCGTCTGCTTCCTCGCCAAATACGAAGCCACAATCTTCGCTGTCTCCGTCTTACCCGCTCCTGACTCTCCCGAAATCAGTATTGCCTGTGACTGCTGCGTCGATATCTAAATCAATACCACACCTTACACACTTCACGCCATACCGCTCCTCACGAAATTCCTATACGCTGCCTCCGCGATTGCATAGGGATGAGGGGGCCTCGTGTGCGGCGGCTTCTCCCAGTACTCAGACATTCTCTCCTCTCCTCCAAGACGTTTATATGGGTTCACAGCCAACAACACACTTCCAACATAAGTGTATACCAAATCCCTACCGTACCGAACCTCCATATTGTGCAGAATATTAGCCTCGTCAATGTGGGTCATCATCGTCACATCAGAGTGACCACCAACCTCCTCTACCGTACTATCATAAATCTTGATTTGATTCAGTGGTATTATTTTCGTCCCTCCCATAGAGGATTTCCTATTGCTACCACCACCAGAGGTCTTACCCTCAACGGGTGGTGCCGGGACATCCACATGAGCCCCTCGAGAGGTAAGGGATACTATCGTA